AACACCCCAAGTACGATGAACTGAGCTTCGAAGTACTACCCTTGAAGAATTGTAGGACTTACAGCAGTACGCCCACAACCCTTCCCAGGTTGACGCCCTTAAGTTGGAAAATCGTCGAAGAGTTCATTAACTGACCTCCCTCTATCATCTATATCCTCAACTTTGAATGGTATCACGCTCATGTCATTGTTTTGTGGAATATAGATGGCTTACAAACATACGACATATCTGACCAACCAAGCGTAGGCACAGAGTAATTTACACCAAAGATAATGACATTCAAATGATAACCACCACTTCTGTCTTTTATTATTAGCTCCAGTTTAGCATTAGCATGTGATGATAGGTGAGCTACACGCTGATCAATTACACTGACGGTCTCATGAGTATCCATGCCTTCTACAACCGCATTTGCCTCACGTTCAAAATGTACAGAACCTTTGTTCAACTCAGTAGAAGTATTCATTCCCCTCATCTTATCATGATCAACTAAAGACAAATGTGAGCTATCATGATCATTATCACAAATATCCACTTTACCGCCGTTTGTGTGATCGACTTCATCATTTTCAAACTCTTTAATAACAGCAGTAGACAATTTGGGTTCTTCCTCTTAAATCCTTAAAGGTTTCATACCTTCACTCTGACTAGTAATATCCTCTAAACTTGTGAAGTCAGAACTGAACTCTGAAAATGCAAATCCCTTCTTCTGAACAAACTGTGATGTCGTCTGTGACACTCTATTCAACAATGGCTTACCAGTTGCAACTACAGACTTCTTCACCTCACAATTACCGTCACACAATTTGTAGTCAGACCTTGACGACGCTGATTTCACAATTAGCATGTCACTAAACTTGATCACTTCTTCACAGTTCGCCTTTGTATGCACTTCTTGCAAACGTGTAAAACACAACGTGTTTGTCTCGCAACCTATAACCTATTTGTTGGGGATGTCCCACGATGGCTGTTACGCTCACTAAGTTTATATGGATTACTCGACACCATAAAGTTTCTCGATATCCGCTTCTCTGAGACCCTTTCGTCATAAATGATTGCGTTTCGCCCTCAGACTGCTCTATTCTAGGGGTAGGATGCAATATACTGGCAAACTTGCTCATAGCTTGATTGAAACTATCTTTTACCAGTCTCAGAATATCATCGAACTTTGGCTCAATACCTTCATCCTATATACGAGAGCTCATCTTCACCCACTTCCTTTGCAGTCGAGTAGGTAGGCGTCTCACTATTGCCTCTAGGACGGAACTTGAGTTCACATCGCTCATGCAATTCATCGAAATCAACGTATTATTGTAAGTCATCAGATTATCCAAAAACTCAGAGAGTGCCTTGGAGTCATCTTGTAAGTGACTACCATTACCTTTAACAGCCTCGCATACGTTCCTTACAATCATCGAAGGCCTTCCGAATCTTTGACGAAGTATACTCATAGCCTCAGAGTATCCTTCATCAGGGGGCATGAGCTTACAGCACTGTATAGCTCTTGAAGCAACTCCAGAGCAGTACCTCAATGAATACATCAACTTCATTTCATCATTTATTGAAAGCCCACTCAACATGATTTCAAACTCCTTTAGAAACTGTGGATAGTCAGCTGGGTTTCCGTCCAAAACACCGAGGTTCATATTTAGGCAGTTTAAAACTCCTATTATCCCTAGACGGCGAACAATAAACAGCAGACTCATCATGCTGGGCATCATACACATCATTACAATTAACAAGCGACTCAGCATTACCTACTTTCCTGCCTGCTTCCAAGACGCTTTGTCCCTTCTTTGACCCAGGCATCAGTGAACTTGACTAAAAAATCCAGAAAAGTTCCAGATAACGCTTGTTCAAAGAAGGCTTCCAGGCACCAGGAAAGACGAACAGAGACTATCAGAAACTGTCAATGTTCAGGTATTACTACACTGGACCTCACGCTGTCCCTGGTGCACTTTCAGAAACAATTCGTAATAAGCAACGCGAAAACCAGAACACTGACTGGCGACTCGAGAATCCTTTATTCTTACGCCAATAGGTAACCAACAATAAGGTTATTACACAAGGTCTAAGAATAAATGTTATAACAATGAATCACGATAATACTTCTGATAGTTTTCTGTCTTTCAACGAACAGCGAACGATGAGACGATGACTGGTGAATTGATGACTCTCGCGAAAATTATGGAGGAGTTGGGTTTGAGCAAACAACCATGAATTGATCGTTCAATCTTCAACTACATGGACTATAGCCATTTAATCTTTTACATCGTGATGAAATATTCCCCCTGTAGGTAGATACGGAAAAGAGTTTTCAATCGTGAGGTCTCTTACCGCAGGATGAATATGCCGTATCAGTTATCATGCTGGGACGTTCCTCCCAGCACTCTCCGGAATGTATGAATCACTATAAAGAAAGGGAGGCAGTTTCCTAGTTTTGGCCTCGACAGATATGTGTGTACACTTTGAACGTTTTATTGATGGGTGAAATGAAGGCCTCAAGTATTCCTCGTAGAGATGTTCAAATGATGACTTCCACCACTCAACAGTGTGTCACAGTGTTGATTTCCTAGATCCATGTGCGTCCATGGTTGCGCATCTCACCATGGAGACTGAGAGCATTTGTTGTTTGAGTCAGTCGGAAAGATTGTTGAGACCTTGCAACGAATGCATGTCTCTATCATCCTTGAGACCTCTCCGCACTATTCTGTCGTCTTCTATAATAACCCCTGGAGATCTTATGAACCCAGAAAACCTGTTGACACAATAATTCGCTAAAAATAAGAGAGGGCTGAGTAAGAGATGCACATACCGCTGTCCAGGAACAGAGTTATGAAATGATTCCAACTCTTAATCTCCCGCGTGTTAGGTGTTTCGTGATCCACCTAAGTAGGCAGCCTTTGATTCTTAAACTCTTCAGTTTTCTGTGTAGCCTTGTATAAGGCACTGAAGTATGCGTATTCCACATTGTCACTTAACCTGGTCCAACTCCCCCTATGTTAGCAGGTTCGTCTAACAAAAGAAGTTAGAAGTGCGTCGGTGGCACAGCGGTTAGGACTCTCGCCGACCATGCACATGGTCCGGGGTTCGAGCCCCCGCCGACGCACACCTGATATCTATGGTCGGCCTGCAAAATTTGGGCTACCGATATCCATGCGTAAAATTCCATACTTGTACCAAAAATACGGTGTGGGATCAAGTTGTAATCAAAAATAAATAAATAAAGTTTCTCTAAAACTACTGCGTTGTATAACAAATTTTTGTTCTCCATTTAACCATAATAGCCTTCTTCACTATTTTCCAGTTTCAGGGTGATATCAAAACTTACAGGCCTGAAGTCTCAAGGAAGTTTCTAGATTTTCCCTTAAGGATGAAGGTCACTGCTGTGTGCTTAAAATAACCTTAAAGTACGAGGTAGCCCAAAGATAGTGCATAATGTGTGTCGACAATTCGCTGACAGTCTCCTTCTAGTGTTGTTGTTGTTATACGGCGTCCCAACACAACTGGGGCTGTCGTACGCTTCGGAGGACAATCATTGCAAAAATTCGTGTCTTCCACTCAAGACTATGTAATGACGAAAGCCGCCTACTCAGAGATCTATCCAGAATAATAAACTGTATCACCTAATTTCCATATCGCAACTTCTGAAACACGGAGCGAAAGCGCGAACCGCTAAATCAACCATTGGATTGTGAAGTTGATCATATGATGAAAGGCTGAAGAAATTAGGCCTGTTCACACTTAGTTACCGTCGGTTTAGGGGGATTTGATTACTACCTACAAAATAACAAATGACCAGAATCACCCAAACAAAGGTGTTCTGCCATTGAGTAGGTATAGGCTTCCACGTGGAAATCCCAGAAGGATAGCTCACCAGAGGGCAAGGACCCGGGTGCGCTCCCACTTCTTTTCACTGCGGGTTTGTCGTCCCTGGAATTCCTTGCCGGCAGATGTAGCTATGGCACCGTCTTTGGACGCCTTTAAGCGAAGGCTGGACAACCATGCAGCGATACAAGGACTGCACCCAAATGGCCTATCTCCTTAAAATCGCATTTACCAACCAGGGTAGATAATTAAACTCGTCATCTTACTTCTTTACATTCTCTCCCGTCTTACTCTCCTGACAACTTATTAATATTATAATTACTATTATTATTATTACTATTACCGATATATATTATTCTTCAAACTTAATGAGCTGACTGTTGTTACGTTTCCTATTTTCGTTTCTGTCTCTTAGTCTGAATAGCTTCACTAATTATATCTATTATATTATTACTATTATTATTATTATTATTACTATCTCTTTCCTCTTGTCGACAATACCGAAGGACTAACTGGCGAAAGGATCAACTCCAATCACAGTAGTAACAGTCTTAACATACCTCATACTACAAACCACATATAATTAATCCCAGCACTACTCCCTTTGGAGTCAACCAAAGCTACGACAATCGAGTGGCGGGACAAGCTACGCAGATGTTTACCGAGATCAAGAACCTATACCTCACAATCAAGAAGCGAGCACAAAGAAATCAAATTGGTTTATACTAGCTCGTAAAAACGATATTGGATATTGGATCTGTGCTGTATTTGTGTCAAACATGACCTCAATTTAGGCGGTCTATTAGCAAGTTGTCAGAATTAACGAGGTAAGGTGGGTCGAGTTTTAGACTCAGAGATTTCGTAATACTGTCATTTAACTGTAGCTCATGTTGTTAGATCATGTTTCCTATCTTTTTTAGACTCTGCCTTCTGCTGCTGATACATCGTATTATATCAAGTAAATCTCTCACAGAGTGGTCAACGATTGGAACTCCTTACCTGATTCAGTAGTATCAGCTCCATCGGTGAACGCTTTCAAAGAGAAGTTAGATCTCTGCAGAGATATACTTTGCAAGGATTAACACAGGCCACAAGAGCCTTCTATCCTTATCATCTGAATCTGAATCTGAATCTGAAATCTACAATTTTTACAGCTCACGCCGCATAACGCTATGCAAAATCAACAAACTGTTCGACAAATCTTCGAAAGGTATTGGTGTTTTTTGAGGTGTTCATTGAAAATTTCAGGGTAGATCGAAACAGGAATGGGTATGTGGATCACACGGAGCTACAACTGGCATTGTCAAATGGTATGTACATATTTGCGCTCACCATGTATCATTTTTCTGAGTATAATGCTGACATGAACATTATTACCCCGGTAGGTAAACGTAGGCACAGTTTGTCTGCTATTTTTGTCGCATTTGTGATGCATGTAGCAGATATATGTGTCTCCATGGCTATGGGTTTCTTCAGCATACCTTTACATATCCACCCCTACGTTGGATAAATTAGTACTGTTTATTTAATGATATATATATCAAATATCCGGTCAGTAGTTGAGAAACTCGATTATTCCCCGGTTATTACTCGGTTATCTGTTGGTTGAATTTACTACAGTTTTGTGTGGTGTTAAAGTAGGATAGTCAAAGTGAAGGTTTTTGAAAAGTTGACCCACAAGGAGCAATCAGACTCAGAAAATGATATGAAATGTCATTCCAGATCAAATTACACTTGTTTTTGGGCTTTGATGCGATAGGTTCGGTATTCTGATTATTCACAAGGTATGTAGGGTTATGGCTTTTAATATTAAAGTTTAGGGTCTAGGGTTAAGGTTAGGTTTAGCGCTAGAGTTAGGGTTGGAAGTTGCGATTATGGTTAGAGTTGAGAGTATGTTGAAAAGTATTGTCAGAAATATCAGTGAATCTCAAAGTACCATGACCTACAGTCACTTGGATGAATGGGTATATGGCACATGATACGATTTCTCCTTAGGTCAGCTGTGTTTTGACTGGGTGACATTTTTACGACACTTAAGTTACAATTGTACAGTCTAGTGTCAGTTTCGCAGTATATTTAGTGTATTTTTCAACGATTTAGCTACGTTTTGTATTTGAATGCTGATTAGTTGTTCAAGGTCACTGTAGTTTTGGCTATGAAAGTTTATCTTGAAACAACTTATCATCGAAAAGAAATGCAACAGAATATGTGTTTCCTAGATGTCCTAAACAAGCTCATACCTTTTGGTATCGCTTTTGTGTTCTCAAAAGTTAACAAAGTCAAACTTGTCGATGTCCGATTCAACCAATACCTTCTGTAATTCAGTGCTTCCATTCTCCCGCGCATTAAACGCAGCGCTCATCATCAGAGTTTTTAATGACCATACATGACTAAACTTCATTGTACTCATCTCAAAGTATCGTATGCTTTCTGCTGTGGGTTTAATGCTTGTTAGTGCTAATCATTAACTCTGAAAATATATATTCCATTTGAATAATGCTATGCAAGCTTCCCACGGAATAAATTCAATCCAGTTAGGGCTGATTTTCAGATTAAGTGACAGCAGTATAAACTACTGTTTTCAATATAGTCATTCTTATTTTAGGCTTGTTTCGTTAAGGACCTAAGCGTCTGAAATAAAAATGGCATAACCTTAGGCTTTTGTCACGCTAAGAATGTCGAGTTGTCTCTTCTCTGTCAATCTTTAACTATTATTAATCGTCTTAAAGCTAGCTTGGAACTAAATCGGCATTAAGTCACTATCTAGTCACCTTTTTAAGCAGGGATCTGAAATCCTAAAGTAGACAGTGACAGGTGTGAAATGAAGTTAAAACTCGGGCGACTAGGATTTCCTACCTAAGTGGCTATCATATTATGCTATCAACTGGCTGTCACTCATTTGGGTATTTGGAAAAAATCGCGAAGTTATTCAATTACTTGAAGCCATGATGTAAAATTTATGCTAACTCAGTATTTGTTACTTTGGGTAGAGCACATAAATTAAGAAATCATCTGGCCTGCTAATACACTGTAATCGTCTAACATTCAACTCAACCTGAATTAGGCTTAGGTATCAGTCCTTCAGCTAGCTAAACCTGTTTGTTCAACTCCAAAAATGTGCAGGTATGGTGGTAAGAAAGTGTTCACTTATTATTATTGCTCCCTTGGGTTCCTAGTGGAACATAGGGCTTCAACTGCACGTCTCCATTTTCTTCTGTCTTCTGCTGTACTTTTCGCCTGCATCCATGTTAGTCCATATTCTTTCAACTCCTCTTCACACGATCTCCTCCATGTCACCCTTGGACGTCCCACACGCCGCTTCCCTTTCGGGTTCCACTCGAGGGCTTGACGCGCGATGTCACCCAGCGGTCTCCTCAGCGAGTGTCCGATCCATCTCCACTTTCTCCTGCATATTTGTTGGGCGATTGGTTCTTGCTTTGTTTGTTCCCATAATTCCTTGTTGGTGATTCTTTCCGGCCATCTGATCTTCAGTATAGAGCGAAGACAGTTGTTAATAAAGGTCTGCAGCCTTTTGGAAATATTCTTTGTGACCCGCCCGCCAAGTTTCTGATCCGTATAGAAGAACTGACTTTACGTTTGTATTGAAAATCCGAATTTTGTTGGTGATGCTGAGTGACGAAGATTTCCAGATTGATTTCAGGTTGATGAATGTGTTTCTCGCCTTCCCGATTCTCGATTTGACATCCTCGTCCGCTCCTCCTGTAGTTGAGACAATGCTCCCTAGATAAGTGAATGAAGTAACCTCTTTCAAATCCCTCCCGTTGATGGTGATTGGCGCTGGATGTTGTTGTTGTTGGTTGGTTATTTTCATAACCTCCGTCTTGTCTATGTTCACCTGGAGTCCTGTCTTCGCTGGCTGCTTCTTCGACCAGTTTGTCGGTTTTCGCTTGTAAGTCTTCGATTGTGTGTGACATCAAACATAAATCATCCACGCGCGAAATCCAGGTCTTCTAGGTTCTTCACGTCGGTCCAGGATATTCCTGTCTTCTCGTTTCCACACTGTCTGACGCATAATCCAGTCCACCACAATTAGGAATATCATTGGTGATAGTAAGCACCCTTGTCTGACTCCTGTGTTTACTCCAAACGCCTCGCTGAGTTTTCCGTTGTGGATCACTTGACATGTGCCGTTGTCGTACAGCTGTTGAATAAGGTTGATGAATATTTGGGGTACGCCATAGTACTCGAGTAATTTCCAAATTACTTCACGATCAACGCTGTCGAAGGCCTTCTCAAAGTCTATAAAGTTGAGGTAGAGGTTTGATTGCCATTCCATGCTTTGTTCGATGATGATGCGTAGAGTTGCAATTTGGTCAGTACATGATTTGCCTTTCCTGAATCCAGCTTGTTCTGGTCGGAGTTCTGTCTCCAGTGCGTCCTTTAATCTCTCCAGGATGATGCGACTCAGGATTTTACTTGGCGTCGATAGGAGCATGATTCCTCGCCAGTTCTTGCAGAGTCCTAAGTCGCCCTTCTTTGGTAGTTTCACGAGGTAACCTTTCCTCCAGTCAGTAGGCACCTTTCCCTCCTTCCAGACCTTTTGCAATAATGGAGTCAGCATGTCTGCTGTCGTCTCTGGGTCCGCTTTCAGTGCTTCAGGGGGTATTCCATCTGGTCCGGCTGCTTTTCCAGCTTTCAGAAGCTTGATTGCATTCAAGACTTCAGCTCTCGTTGGAGGATTGGTGTCAACTTGCAGTTGTGTGCGCGCTGTTGTTGGTATTTCTGGACGGGTTGCAGGTGATGGTCGGTTCAAGAGTCCTTTGAAGTGATCCGCCCATTGTTTAATCTGTTTTTCTTCCTTGGCTGTCTTTTATAGGTTTCGCTTGTGTTGATCTCTTCCCGGATAGAGATTTGGTTATCTGATATAGTGTCCTCAGGTCCCTTTTGCCTGCTGCCTTCTCAGCTTCAGTGGCCAGGTTGTCGTAGAATCGTCTTTTGTCCTTCCTAGCACTCTTCTTCACTTCTTTGTCCAGTGCTTTGTAAGTTGAGCTCAGCGTCTCCTTCTCCTGTCCGTCCTTGCATTGAATCATTTTCTCTTTCACCATTCTCCTCTCTTCTATTAATTTCCAAGTGTCCGTTGAGAGCCATTCCTTGTCTTGTCTCTTCTTTCTTCCTAGAACCGTTGAACACGTTTCGTTGAGAATCGCCTTCAGAGACTTCCAATGTTCTTCCACGCATGATTCTTCAGTGATGTCGCGTAGTGTTTCCTGCTTTGCTCTGACAGTTGCAGTGAAAGTGTCTTTTGTGGTTGTGTCCTTCAGTAATTGAGTGTTGAACTTGCATTGTGGCCTATCCCCAGCTATCCTCGAGGCTTTTAGTTTCACCTTGAAAGTCCCTTGTACTAGATAGTGGTCTGAACCCACATCTGCTCCTCTCCTTGACCTTGTGTCCAGTAGGCTCCGTCTCCACTTTCTTGAAATTGAGATGAAGTCTATTTGGTTCTTGGTGTTTCCATCTGGTGAAATCCATGTCGTCTTGTGTATATCCTTGTGTTTGAACACACTACCGCCAATCACCAAATCATTGAAGGCGCAGAAGTCTGAGAAGAGTTCACCATTGTCGTTCATTTCGCCGAGGGCCTCACGACCCATGGTGAGTTCTCTTCCTGTGTTGTCTCCTCCCAGCTTCGCATTCATGTCGCCCATCAGGATTTTGATATCGCCATTTGGGACGTTGTCCATTATTGCTTGTAGTTGTCTGTAGAACGCCTCCTTCTTCTTGTTCTGAGACGTTTGTAGGCGCATAGCATTGAATGACTGTAACTTTCCTTCCTTTTGAGTTGAACCTGGCTGTCATTATCCTGGAGGAGATTGGTTCCCACTGCATGAGAGCTTTGGTTGCTGTTGGTGACATCATGATGGCCACTCCCTCGGTGTGCTCATGGTTGTCCTCTGGGTGGCCGGAAAAGATTACTGTCTCACCGGCTACCTGGGCAGCTTTTCCAGTTTCGTACATTGTACGAACATTCCAGGTACCCATCCTTACTTTTGCTTTCATCGAAAGAAGGCACATCGGCTGGCTGGCTTCCCGAAGGCTTTCACCAGCCTGCGTCATTTCACTTCCCCGATTCCAGCGAAAAGTAATGCTATTGGTTATATTTTTAGAATTTTTAATATATTTATTCGTTGAAGTTTCTGTAGCGATTTGGTTGTTTTACAGGGGTGAAGTTGCTAGCACCACGCCCCAACCCCCCCTCTTTATTCGGGCTTGGGACCGGCGAGAAAACTAGCAAGTTAGTATCTGGCGAGGTTAAAACATTATTAGGGCGAGGCGCATGCATATAGCACACAGCCTTCTTCAAACCTTGCACACAACCATTAGGTCGCGTACTATCTCATCGCCCTTGGCAGATCTGGCAACAAAAGTCACGAGAACACCATCAGAGCATATGACTGGCTAGGTACCCCAAGAAAGTGTTCACTAGAGTAACTTAATTACTAATATGTATGATTCAGTCTGAGATGATTCTATTATAATGTTGTGCGTCGTCTCAATTAACGAGAATGAGTTCAAACCAGTCTGTTATAATGACGGGATCGACCTTGACCAATGTAGGGTGTTTAGGGTCTATGGTCATAAGTTTGTTTTATGTTTGTATCACATGCAGGATCCAAATATAGTTATTCGTTCATCTTTATTTAATCAGAACTTTGTGAGCATACTTTTAATGATCGCAGGATGCCGGATTCCCAGATGAGCTGGAATAACTCCAGACTGCTGCTAGATGCGGCTGCTGACTTCATCTTACACATGTGACCACCAAACTGTACAGTCCTTACGTAAGCAATGTTTAATTTCATACGTTCTAAATCGCAAGTGTCTTTATCCTCTGTCTTCATAACGGCTTGTAAGTATAACTAGTATTTGTGTATACTCTGTGAAATAGGGTAAGTAGCTAGTATTGAGTCCAGTTTGGAGTGACTGCTTGTTAATTTCATGATAAGACTGCAGTGAATATTCAAATCAAAGTGGGTTGTTTAATGTAAGCTATGTATTCTTTGTCAAACTACTTGTAAGTGTAATATTATTATCTCTTCAATAGAAAATGTGTACGAATGAAAGGTCTTCAATCTTTATCTACTCATTTCTTAAAGGTATAGGAACAACGTTCAACATACGAACTGTCCAGTTGATGATTTCAATGTTCGACAGAGATGGAAATGGAACAATCGATGTAAATGAATTTATGTATTTATTCAAATATGTTCAAGATTGGCAAGAATGTTTTCGTCGATATGACCAAGATAAATCTGGACGTATTGATTCCCGAGAACTTCAATGGGCCTTATCTTCCTTTGGTTATAGACTTTCTCCTGCTTTTGTACAAATGCTTATCTGTCGATTCGATCGCAATAAATGTGGGCAGATTGCTTTTGATGACTTTATATATGCTTGTGTATGTCTCCAAGTAAGTTTGTCAGATTATTAATTTTACTGTATTTTATCGGTGTGTAATAGTGTGTACACTGTCAAAAGCCTTAAAAATGAAAACCTTTCTACCTATTTTTTTTTGGGCCGTGATTATTTCTTGAACAATAACTGACTGATTGAACTGTAATACACAAGGTTGCACAGAACTGCAGTATTTCAAGTTGTCACATTCTATGCAGCACACAGTGTTAGACAAAAGAGAGAAAACAAAGGACTCAAGGAACTGTAATAAGCAGAAGTGTGTGGGAAAACATGGTACTTTGTCATAAAGACTATAAGTGTTTGGTCATCTCAGAGTTAGTACTGAAACTGTTGCCGGAGCGTATAAGCAACACAAGTCTTAATGAAAAGATGACATTGGTCAATCAGAAAAGGTTAGACACAATAATGCATGATAAAGAAAAACGGGTAAGACTAGAAAGTTAAAAAAGTCAACAAAGAGAAAGACACACTTCCATTCGTTCCTGACAAATCACTGAGTAATTATATTTCGCAAATATTCAGTAGATGTTTAAGGACTCATCCTAACAGTTTAGCAGTGTAATGAAAATTCAAAAAAGTGCTTAGTGTCCTATAAAAAAGCTACACAATGATTGTGAGCGTTTTTGAAAAAAATCCCTAATAGGAGGATTATGCTATAGGGATTATTAGTAGTAGCCGTGATAAAATCAGCAGATAGTGCAGTTATTTAGTTATTAGTAATTCGTTAATACAGATTGTTTATCTGAAGACTGAAGTAGGTCAGTTAAGTAGATTTCAGGTTGATCATATATACCTAGTCAGAATCTAACGTTTAGTTGGATCCTAGGATGAGATACTTTTGCCAGTTCTTATTATCAGGATAATGACCAATTGTTACTTATGTCTGTCCGTCTATTATCCGAAAATTGTATACCGGTTAAACTCTTGACGTGGAGGCGGCATTCGACTCAGTCGACTGAGAGGTGCTATGGCAATATTTGGCCGTGAATGGAGTACCAAGGAAGTATATCACGCTGATCAAGGCACCCAACACAGACTAAAGTTTCCTTAGTGATTTAAGTGACTTATCGATTGAATTGTTACCAACGGTCAGTCTTATCCATTAGAGTATGCGGATAGTATTGTCTTCTTTGGTGAAGGCTGACAAAACGCAGAGTCTTCTAAACACCTTGAACAGAATATTTGGCTTTGTTCGAATTTTCGGCTTGCGGTTTTCTTCTGTTAATTATAAGATGATGCTACAGGATTGGAGTACACTGACTCCCGGTTTAAAAATATGGAGTGGAATGGCATCAGCCCAATTGACTGATTCCAGACGAAATCTCAACATGAATACAAAAGGCTCATGCGGCATCTGCTGACGCACGTCATCTCTACTGTAGACGTGATGTCTGGTTATCCATCATAGGAATTGTCCGCTGCACAGCGGTTTTCTCCTTCGTCTTTCATGGCTGTGAGACATATTCATAAAAGTGGGATATGCAAAAGGGCTAGCTGTCTTTGACAACAGGTGTCCATGTTCTGTCTCCTGTGTTGTGTAGTGTAATGTGGTGAGTAATATTGAGGTTAGGTGTAGAATGTTAGGTAAGGAGGACAAGTCTGTCGATGAAGTTGTAAAGCTACACTGATTAAGATGGCACATTTGAAACACCGCCTTCCTCGACGTGCAATATTAGCTGACATAGGATCACGATGGACAAAACTTAGAGGTAGTCAAACCGAAACCTGGAATCAGTCCATGAAATCGTTGACTGTTGGTTCGAGCCAGCCACATTGGGGGGGGGAGTTAGTGTAGAGTGCCTGTTTGGGGGTATCCTCAAGATGTTAAGAACCGGTAGCTGGAGACTTTTGGGATACGGCTCAAATGATGCATTCACTCTTTGTGACCTATCATATCCAATAAACCGTCATGTTATCTCCATGTTTCTCTTCTTTCTCTCGCACATTTCTGCTCACTACAGTTCTTTTGAATCAGCCTTTTCCTTTCTTTTCTCTTCCTTTCTGTGGTTATGAAGTGTGGCAACTTGAACTAGTGCCATATTGTGTATTGAAACTCAGTCAGCCAGTTGATGAAACTCACTGTCATAACTGAGTCAACTTCATTCAGTGTCATGAAGATTTAAGTTGTCTTTTAGTATGTTTAGCAACTTTTTACTGGCACCCATTTGTACAAATATTTGCTAAGATCCAAAAGCAAAGAAGGTGCTTAGGAAAATGAAGTTACGTAATGCTTAGTTTTAAATAAATATAGATTTATAAAAAGGAGTGAAAAATTAAAAAGAGGCAATGTGAAGTTTTAATGTGATAGACGAATGTTGGGCATTTATTTTTTTGGGAATGTTCACTAAGTTTATTCTCGTGAATTGTCATAGTTTTGGCCATGTACAAAAGCGGAACTCGGATTCCATTGGACAGATAAGGTAAAATACGAAAGTGCTGTTTCTGTCTTGTTGACCACTACCGATCAAATAAAACAAATTTTTGATTGGAAATCAGTTAGTAACTAGTTTAATGTGTCTAGTCCTTCGTTTGGTGTAATCGGGATTCTGTCAGTCAAGTTTGAAATGTGGTCACCATGCTAGGTGGCTCGCCATAACGGCGCACTGTGAATTGTTGATATTAGACGGTTGGAGGCATTCGGCCATAGGAAGCCCTGTTTGACCTAGGCTTCGTGCTAGTTGACACTCACTCCTCAGCAAGGCGCATCCGTAACTGCCTTGCAGGGACTCATTTCCCTTTTGCGACTTGAACCCGCATCACACAGTGACGACTGCAGTCAGAGGCGTTACCACTGAGCATTTATTCGGGCTCGCCATTCACCTCCTCCTGTGGAATTGTATTGCATATTTTTTGATGGGATACTAATCAGTAACTTGCGTAGTGTATCTAGTGTTCAAAGTGCACTGTGATGGCGAGCCACCTAGTGGCATGATGGCCACATTGTAAACTTGACTGATAGAATTCAGTCTGCAAAAGAGATAGCACTGGACACACACACACACTACACTAGTTACTGACTTGTGTCCAACCAAAAATATCTAATACAGTCCTACAGGAGGTCGATCGCGAGCCCAAATAGCTCACTGATAACGTCTCTGACAGCAGGCTTCACTGAGTGACGCGGGCTCAAACGTCAGAAGGGACATGACTTCCTTCAAGGCAGTTGCACATACGCCTTGTTGACTGGTGAGTGGCAACTAGCACGAAACCTAGGTCAAAGGCTTTTTTCCCCTCCAACTTACCTATCACTCGGCTGATGCCCAACCTCAACATTGCTCACCTAACACTCACGGGAGATGGAACGAAGGTGTCTACCTATGATAAAAGACAGCCAGACTAGCCAGGCTTTTCATGTCTTCCACTTTCAATTCGGGTCATATCTCACAGCCATAAAGGAGGACAGGGCTAAGTGACTTCTGAGCAGTATACAGCCAGTCAGTCGGATATCACGTCTACTAAGCGAGAGATGGTGTAAGTTGGCAGACATTAGCGAAACGAGCCTTCTGTTTCCGTGGTGAGATTTCGTCAGCGATCAACCCGCTGGCGTTGGCTGATGCGATTTCCCAAATAATTGGAATAGTCAACAATCTCCACCAAGCAATTTACTTCCTATCTTTAAGCAAGGAGTGAGTCGATGTAGTGCAGTCGTGTAGCAGCATCTTACATTTTTCAGGAGCAAATCTCATGCCGAACATTCGAAGATTACTCACTGCTCAAGGTGTTCAAAAGACATTGCAGTTTGTCAACTTCTTCGCTCAGAAGGACTATATCATCTGCATATTCTAAGTCAACGAGATTATTCCCTTGTAACGAGTCAATCCCTGAGTCACTGAAGTCAGTTAGGGTCAATTTCATTAGTGCATATGTGATGAAGTTGAAGAGAAATTTTGACACCACTGGTTGTCACCACTTCAGATGACAATTCTCCGTAAGCTCTCATCTGGCTGACTGCATGAGTTCGAGTAGAGTGCCTCGATCAGTGCGATGTATTTTCTTGACATTCCCTTCACAGACAAACATCGCCGTAATACTTCTCTTTCGACGGAATCGAATATCGCCTTCAGGTCAAAAGATTTGACGACTGTTGGACTCCGCAGTAAGTGTGTTCCAGAATCTGTCGGAGGGTGAAGATATGATCAGTAATGCTTTTAAGTAAAAAGTATTGCAGTTGTAGCTTAATTATTTTGCTAATGTGTTGTAGTTAAAACACAAATTTAGTACATTATAGTCATCAGAGACGCTCGAAACAAAATCTCATTTTGTACAAGAACTGGAATACTGCCTGAATGCCCAGGTCATAGCTGGTGGTAGTGGTTGTATTAAGGTGTCACTTCCCGAGTGCTGGTTTGAAGTCTGACCCACTAGACACTGGGACAGCGTGAGGAGCTACGTTTCCGATCCTCTAGTCCATGAATACTATAGGTTTGTAATCAGAGTTGCCCAGTCTCTCTAGGTAGACCAGTATGTCCACCTCTCTGCCTATAAAAACCAGACGTTTTCATTCGCCTCACAGAGTAAAGGTAGTGGATAGGACTTCTCTCCTATAGGCTACATGAGAGTATTTCTAGAGGAAACCCAAAATCTGTCCACCGGTTTTACCAGGTACCCAGCTAGCTTATGGGTGGGACCATTTATTTTTCTATGGAATCATTGGTACAAATCATTCCACTCTCTATTCGTCAGGAATCTAATTCAATTCATTTTTATAACAGATGAATTTGCACATTACTCACGCACGCACGTATCTTCGTGAAAATTACAAAGTCATACTATTCATTTCTTTAATTTCCTTATTTTGATTACTTTTCCCTTTTTTCACTCTCTCTCTCTCTCCAATAGATTCTTACCAACGCCTTCAAACGTTTCGATGTAAATTGTAATGGATGGGCACATTTTAATTTTGAACAATTTCTCTCTGCTGCAATGTCCATTATTATTTGAGTGATATACATATATTGTAAAGAAAACAAAGAATAATCTCTGTAATAATTCCTTCAACATTATAGACTGTGAATCTATTGTCGTATCTTGTAAAAAAAAAAAGAGAAAACAAAAATGTATCAACTAACAGTCGATTCGCCTATTCCATCTGAGCTTTCTTCAACACAAGCTCTGTGTGTGTGTGTGTGTGCTATAAACAACTGCAACTCGTGATATCAGTTGATTAGTTAATGGTCAACATTATGGTTTTATATCTGCTTTCAGGTAGTGCCCCGTCTGTGTGATTTCCAAGTTTTTGTGTGTATCATTTGAACACCTTTTCTTTTAAAAGAAAAAGAAAACTATTTATAGGCTGCTCTCTCTCTCTCTCTCTATGCCCAAGAAGAAGAATCACACGTGTATTTTCTTTAAAATTTATTGATTTGATTTTAATGCCGGAAACAAGCACACGCTTGTTTCTCCACTATATGAGTTCAATTTTACTAATACTAATACTTCCTTGGCTTTCCCTCTGATTTTACTTGTGAATAGCTTTTTGTAATTCAGTGCTTTTTTATATAACATCCTTTTGTTTTGTTAATAATATTGTGGATAATTTATTTATTTATTTATATTTCTGCTTTTGTTCTGTCCTGTTCTGTAACTGTAGGAAAAGTTTAAGTTATCAGTGTTGAATTATTACATCATCAGGGCTGTTGAATTTCATGTTCTACTAACTGTTGTTATACAATTAGACGATTTAGCAATTTAGAAAAAATCACCATTTAGACATTTAAGAAACAGAAAAATTTGAGCGAGCGAAGAAATATTTACTTTCAATTAGATCCTCATCCCTCACTCGGGCTCTTCTCTAATATACACGTATAGCATTTCTATTTCAATGCACAACAGTTTCCCAATCAAGTGGCACTGATATGTTTGTTAACAATAATTAATTAGTCAGTGTCAAAATGTCAATGGGTTGATAATTAACGAAGAAAATCAATACACATTTAAAAGGTAGAAATGGTTAGAATAAATTAATTTTACAAGGATAACACGTAAATTAAAGATGAAGTGGTCAAAATAAATAAGAAATAAAATAAATAATTTAGACAATTATAGTTTTTATAGGTTTAGGGGGAGGGGGGCGACGTAGTCCTGTTTATGCATTCTTGTGACAATGGCCACGGTAGGGAAGTGGCTGTACAAATTTTTTCTGAACACATAGGCTTGGCTTCTTCAGGTGAATTCCGATTGCTTCAGCCTCACGTCTCCATTGACTTCTGTTCTCTGCCAATGTTTTCACCTGGTTCCACGTTTGCCCACATGCTTTCATTTCCTCTTCACATGACCTCCTCCATGTCACCCTCACACTGAGGACGAACTCGCCACTTCCCGTTCGAGTTCCACTCGAAAGCCTGTCGCGCGATGTCACTTGACGATTTCTTTTCTCGTAGTGTGGCTTCCAATTCACCTCCATTTCTTCCTGCATATTTGTTGCACAATCGGCTCCTGATGGGTTGGTTCGTTCATTGAAAAAACCCCTGTTGCTAATCTTTTCTGACCAGCCGTCTGATCTTGAGTAGTATTGAGCGAAGACAGGTGCTGATGTAGGTCTGTAGTTTGTTCGAAGTGCTCTTCATGATGTGACAAGCTTCTGATCTGAATAGTAAGTAGCACTGACTTCACATTGGAATCGAAAATTCGGATCTTATTTTTCATGCTGATTGCTGTTGACCTCCACACAGACTTGATGAGAGTAATGAAAGCTTGCTATGTTTTTCAGATCCTCGCTGTTCTGATATCCTAGTCAGTTCCGCCTGTAGTTGAAACGATGCTTCCTACGTATGTAAAGTAGGTTGCTTCTTTCAGGTTCCTCCCATTTATACTCGCTGATTGTTGTTTGTTGGTGTTGGCCAGGAATCTTCATTACCTCTGTTTTCTCTATGTTCACCTGAATTTCTATCTTGCTTCTCACTTGCATATCTTCCAGTTTGTGGAAAATCAGATATACATCATCGGTGAAGTCCAGGTCCTCCAAGCTTTTTGTGTGGGTCCATTTTATGCCTGTCTCCTCGCTGCCTGCCGTTCTCGTTGCACCATCCAGTCTACCACAATCAGGAAAATCATTGGAGATAGTAGGCAGCCAGCCTTGTATTACTCCCGTCTTCACTTCGAAGGATTCTGTGAGTTTCCCTTTATGGATTACTGGGCATGCAGCATTGGATGAGATGCATACTTGTTGGTAGCATCCCGTAGTAGCGAAATAGTCGCCAAACCACCTCTCGATCGACTCTGTCGAAGGCCCTCTCAAAGTCGATGAAGTTCAGGTAGAGAGAGGTGTGACTGCCATTCCAAGCTCTGTTCAATGATGATCCGTAGTGTCGCGATTTGATCCATGCATGACTTGTTTCTTCTGAATCCAGCCTGTTCTTGTCGAAGTTTTTCATCCAGAGCGTGTTCGATTCTCTCCAGGATGATGCAGCTTAGTGCTTTTCTTGGGATGGACAGGTGTATAATCCCGCGTCAGTTCTTGCATTGACCTAAGCCCCTTTTTCTTGGCAGTTTGAATAAGTACCCTTTCTTCCAATCCGCAGGTACCTCGCCCTCTTTCCCTACCTTCTCCAGTAGTGGTGTCATCAAGTCGGCTGTTGTCTCTGGGGCCATTTTCAATGCCTCTGCTGGAATTCCATCTGGTCTTACTGCTTTTCGAGGTTTTGGCATCATGACTGCCTTCAGGACTTCTGTTTCCGCCGCAGGGTTGATGTCCACTGGTAGTTCTGCTTCTGCTGTTGGTATTATTGGCACTCGGTCGATGCCCAACATCAATATCGCTCATCCTATTATACCACCACCTAACATTCACGGGAGATGGAACGAAGACACCTATGATAAAAGATAGTCAGCTAGCCAGGCTTTTCATGTCTTCCACTTTCAATTCGGGTCATATCTCACAACCATAAAGGAGGACAGAGCTAAGTGACTTCTGAGCAGTATACAGCCAGTCAGTCGGATATCACGTCTACTAAGCGAGAGATGGTGTAAGTTGGCAGACATTAGCGAAACGAGCCTTCTGTTTCCGTGGTGAGATTTCGTCAGCAATCAACCCGCTGGCGTTGGCTGATGCGATTTCCCAAATAACTGGAATAGTCAACAATCTCCACCAAGCAATTTACTTCCTATCTTTAAGCTAGAAATCAATTTAATTGCATAAAACCTGTAATGACGGCATAGTTCATGTCAATAGCTGGATAGTATTTCATATACGGTTAGTGTATTCCAGCGTGATAATTTAGTCTAGCAATACCCTTGCCTGACATACCATATTTCATGGATCTTTGACTAGAATCAAGTAAATTCAGGAAGCTTTAGAATTAACGTAAATGTATGTTTGTTGGATGAACTTATTAACTGAATGGTGCTTAGTTAAAAAACAGTGGCATTCTTCCAGACAGTATCTTTGATATGATGTGGAAGTTTCAGCATAGTACGGGGGAAATATTTGATTGGGCGTTTACATTGATAATAATCATGACCCATGGAAGACGAAGGGGAGGCGAATAAATAAGAATAAGGTAGAATACAAAAATTAACAAAAAAATTGTGAAAGTAAAGACTACGTGATACCAGAATGTCTTAACTTCCATATGTAGCTTTGACGAAATATCTTCCTAGACTATAACATGATATGCGAATACTTGGAAAAGGAGAAAATAGCCATTAGGTTCCTACTACTGCTACTACCTTTTGATAGCTGCCACTTTGACGTGGTAGTCGGATTTGCATATCGCAATCCAGCTATGCCGACTCTCCTCTGGAGAAGGAATGTGGATTAGAAAAGGTCAACCCTGAAAATTGTACACTGCGGCCGTCTGTAGCCGGTATTAATACCTTAGTACACACACGACTCTAAAAATCGCTTCAAACCAACCTCAAGCAGTTGTTCCACAGGCTCTGCGGTCACATAACACTAATGTTCTATCTGTTTCAGGAGCACCTCACAAAGAATATATTCTTCATATTAGCTATGTTATTAACCTGAAATGAATCAATCAATTATAATTACTGTATAAATTTGACAAGTAGTTATTCTAATAGTTTCTTAAAGCTGATAATAGATCATTGAAGGTAGTTGGCCACAGGAAGCCTTTAACCTAGGTTTCGTGTAGTTGGCACTCACTAGTCAGCAAGGTGTATCTGCAACTGCCTTGAAGGAACTCATGTCCCTTCTGAGATTCGAACCCGTGTCACCCAGTGCTGCAGTTAGAGACATTGCAGTGGATAATAAATAGTGTTCAATAAAAAGTATCCGATACACTCCTATAGTACGTCAATTGCGAGCCCAAATCGCTCAGTGGTAACATCTGTGACTGCAGCACTGAGTGACGCAGGTTTGAATCTCAGAAGGGATATGAGTTCCTTCAAGGCTACAGATACGCCTTGTGGAGTGGTGAGCGCCAACTAGCACGAAACCTAGGTCCAAGGCTTCTTGTCGATTGCCTCTAACCATCTATTATCAACAATTCACAGTGTACCATGATGGTGAGCCACTTAGTGGCATGGTGGTCTCATTTACAAACCTGACTGATAGAATTCAGTCTGCACCAAAGAAAGAGCTAGATAAATTACACTAGTTACTGACTAGTGTCGAATCAAAAGTTTCTTAAAAGCTTTAAAATCTCACTAAATTATATGGATGACAAACTGAAGTTAGAAGTTGCTAAACGCATGTTATTAGATTTCCTTCATTTCAAATACTCGCCAAAAGTATTAAATTAATCTCGAAAATTCACGCACCATTCATTTTCACTTGTATAGGCATATGGAGACAGAAGCTTCAATGACCCAGTTATTCACTGAAGTTCCAAGTGGCAACATCGCTGGTGATGCATCCAGTTTACGAGTTCCAAATAGAGTTGTATTATTCCCTTGGGTTTTCAGTGGAACATAGAGTTTCAACAACACTTCTCCACTTTCTTCTATTTTCTCCTGTCTTCTTCAGCTGGCCAGATCCACAATTGTCCATAATCACTCTTCTCCTTCTCCCCAACACACGACCTTCTGGATGTCACCCCCTCACTGACTGCCCACACGTCGCCTCCTACTGGGATTCCACTCGAGCGATGGCCTGCATTGCGTACGATGTCATTTGACCGATGACCTTCTCAGTGAGATGTATGCCCGATACATCTGTTATAATGCTAGAACTTTGTCACGAGGTAACTGCTTAACTACTGACCAGTGCCCACTTAACTGGTAAAGCAGAACACGCGAGAATCAGCGGTAAAGCCAGGATCATTTTTATTTATGACAAAAGTGACTGTAAAGTGACTGTATTTATACAAAAATAAGGTAGACTGGAAATCAACCAATCCGGTTGACAGTTTGGAATTGTGCGAGCGTCCAATCAGAAAGCAGAAACAAATGCATGTCAACGACACGCTAATAACTTCCTATTTGCATGTGTTTTGCCTCATCCTAACAACATCTTCATTTTCCCCCACGTATTATCTGGTTGAGCAATCGGCTCTTGCTTTTGTTGGTTTGCTCATCGCTAGAGTTTCTTCTTTCTAATTAGGATGAAGACATTTATGCTACTTCATAGATAGCATAAATTATTGTCTATCAGTAACATTTATTGAAGATAGGCTGGGGTTCTATCCCGGCCTACGCACTCCTTTGCCTCGCTGAGCCAGTGGTAGGACTGGTAAATAGGGAAGGTTGGCCATGAGGCTACCAACCCCATCCCGTAAAAATAAACACCACTGCTACCGAAAATTTAAAGCTCTAGCTTGAAGGCGTCCTATGTTCTACTGGGAATGTAAAGGAATAAATAAAAAATTCATACAGGTAAACTACTAGTGATATAGCCATTTGTTTTTGGATCCAACTCTCTTCTAATAATGTAAACTCACACATTCATCCGGTTTTATGAATTTGTACAAAGCAAGAACAACAACAGTGGTTTATGCAGAATAAGAAGATGGCACCATCATTGTTTATTTCGCTGATTTACTATAAGATGCTGCTTACAGCCTGAACAGATTATTATTATTATTAAGTTTATGTACAGAAACAATTCCAACATACTTGCAAATTCTACAAGATGTCAGTTGACACGAGACTCTGAACTGACTGAACAGTGCTCAGAAAATTATGCTCATATAGTTCTTACATAGGCAGTTCAAGTTCAAATGTATGCATACAAGACAAGAGGTGCGCAAGGTGAAGAGTAACTTATAAACTCGGTAACAATCCACTGAGTTCAACACAAACACTGTTCACTAAATTTGCGTCACATAAGCTAACTAACTGCCTTGTTCACAATGATCCTAATCAATAAAACTTTCGAGATCATTTGTCAGCAGTCTGATCTTCTCCCACTCCCAGAGTTCGAATTCAAACGCCTACTGCTAATGTGCACCACGGATGTGCAATTCCAGTACAACAGCATTCTTTACTGACAAGTAGATGGTGTAGCTATGGACAGTCTACTTAACCCTGTTTTAGCAAATATTTTCATGTCCATCTCTGAGACAAAAAAGTTGAAGCGTGCGATCAACAAAACAACTTGCCGATATGTCAATGACACATTCGCATTATGCACCAATGACAGCCATGCTTCCTACCTACTCAGATTACTCAACGATGCACACACAAATATTGAGTTTACTATGGAACATGAAAATGATGGAAAGTTCCATTTCCTTGATATTGTCAGGTAACGCCCAGGAGACGGTAAACTCCAAAAGTCAATTTATCGAAAGCCTACATGGAATGGACAATACCTACATTTTAATATTTTTTGTCTAAATAGCTTTAAACGAGCACCAGTCAGAACTCAGTACTATAGAGCCAGGAGAATATGCTCTACAGAGAAATTAGATGAAGAATTTATGATTCTCGAAAAGATATTGAAAAACAACGGTTACCATAAGAGTTCCGTTAACAAATATGGGAGATTGGAAGGCTCAAATATTAAACAAATCACAGTGGCCGAAGTGGTCCAGTGGATAACGCTTTGGCGTTTGAAACTATGGGTACTGGGTTCGAGCCTCGGTGGGAAAATCATCACTCACTGAGAAATGCAGGTACATCCATATGCCGAGTCCCAAATAGGACGAAATCCTGGATTCTACTGCTAGTCACCATCCACCCATAAATACTAACTAAATGCCCAGAAATCGTCGAAGCATCTGCACAAGAAGCCGACATGTCAACCTGAGTAGACCGAACACTTCGGTCCAATCAATCGACGGGAATAAAGCCTGTCTTCATTCAATTCGATTTTAAGGGTAAAAATATTGCAGCAATAGTCAACCGAAGATTGAGAACGTCACTAGCCAGAGCCTTTCATGCAGGCGAGTATCTGCAGGAGCAGTTATGTTGGGCAAACAGAAAGAAGGGCACACCTCCCATTTTCTGAACATGTACCAAAAAACCTACATCTCAGGGGAACAAACGCTTGCAACAGTGCCGTTATCAGACATCTCCTTGATACGGGTTTGGTCATGAGGTGGAAGTCTCAAAATCTGTTGCTGTTATTGCCTTTTGTTTTCAAATAATAAACTTAAATCATCTATTATGGAATTTAATGAAGATATCAGAAAAAATGTATATTTATGTTATCAAGACAGAGATACCTTCAGAGATAATATGGCAGCTACCTTTTATCTTGATTCATTTTCTAACTAGTTGAATAAAAATATGTACTTTAGATTCCTTTTGTTGATGTAAATCAGGTGACCATCTTTTCTTTTTAAAAGTATTAAATTCTCTTCATCTTTAAATCAATTAACTAAAGTGCGTGTGTTTCCTGATCAATTAAATCATCTATGATAAGTTGAATGCATATCTGTTGGAGAGGTACACTTCTTACTTCTTCTAGATGAAATATTAGCTAGGCGTAATAGTAATAATAAGAATAATAAAAAGCACGTAAAATATTACTAGGTTATGCGTAAGACCTGTTGTTTTACTGTTTTCTGCAGTCCTCTTCTAGTTGACTTCAAGAGTGTTTACTTCACACGGTCACTACCATGTCTCCGTCGAACCTAGGACCCTATGACTGCCAATATTCTCTCATCATCTTGGACGACCCACTCAGGGTACGCCTGGTGTGCGATCAGTATTGTTGATCTGTCTCCATTTTCTGTAAATTTGTTGAGCAATAAGTTCATGATTTCTCCATTATGAGTTGTGTGAGTAACTTGATTTGATTATGAGTGGCAATAGTTTGTACTCGAAACGTTATCAGTTAATATTACTGTATAACACTGAGTGAATTATTATAATGGAGTTCTAATCTACCACAGTGCCCAAGTTTTATATTTATATCAAGTTCATGATTTATTCATCACCGGAGTTTCTTGTTGCTGATTTCTCTGGCCTTCCATCTGATTTTCTATATGGAGCCATTGAAGACAGCTGTTGATAGAAGTCTTCAGTAACCTGTCGGAAATGCTTTTCATGACGAGCGTGACAAGTCTATCACCCATATAGAAGAACTGATTTAGCATTTTTGTTGAAAACCTGAATATCGTTCTTTTAATGCCTAGTACAGAAGAGTGCAGAACTGATTTCGGAGTGATGAATGTCTACCTTACCTTTCCGAACCTGACTGGTGTTGACATCTTCATCCCTTCCGACTGTCTAGATAGCTTAAGGAAGTAACCTCTTTTAAATCTCTCCTAACAATGGTGATTGGTGCTGGTTGTTGTTGTTGATGTTGTTGCTGTTCGTTAATTATCTTCACCACCTCCATCTTCCCTATGTTCACTTAAAGTCCTGTCTTCACTGCCTCTTCAACCAGTTTGTTCATTTTCGCCTGTAGATCTTTGAGTCTGTGTGACAGTAGACACAAATCATTCACACGAGAAATCCAGATATTCAGGAGTCTTCATACCGGTCAGTCTAACGTATTCTTCTCTTCTCTCTCTCTCTCCCCATTGTCTCACACATAATCTGGTCCATCAAAATTAGGAATATCATCGGTGATAATAGGCAGACAGCTAGTCTTGTCTTATTTCATCCTGTATTCACTTCGAAAACCTCGCAGTGTTTCCGATTGTGGATCACCTGACACGCAACACAGAATTATAGCTGTTGAATGAGGTTGATAAAGATTTGAACACTGCACTCCATAATCGTATTTGAATTAGTTCCCAAGACATTAAATTGTGGACTGATATAAAAGTTTGATGAGAAATTTATTTGGACAGCTTCAGAGTTCTTGCTACTCTGTGACTCTACATGTTGCTTCGTAGTCACACCTGAAGATTCAGGTTTCAAATTTAAACACATAAAATTCCCCCCGGGGTGGTGGGGGGATATATACTGTGGCATATCATCACTCGAAAGAGGGATTCAGTCATTATAATCCATCCTTATTCACCCAAGTAACCACAGTGTCGAGTATCTTGAAACTTACCAACTGAGGTCTTGAGAAGGAATATTCCGTAAGATTTTTAATGAGCACAAGACGTTTTATGAAAGTCAACTTTCTAATAATGATGACAATGGCATAGCTTATTTATCTGTATCAATCGATTTTTATTCATCATGTGAACAGGACATAAGCAGTTGAGTGAATAATCAAGGGCGACACCTGTCATCTACGCACAAAAATGTTGTGTTTCAAGAATGAAACTCCGTTTGAAACATAGATACTGAACAAACAGTAACCTTTTCGATAACCTCTTCTTCATCAGGTTCTACAGTCATATGTCCATCCATAATAATGAAACGGTGATTGTCAATGACGACATTAGTGGGTTTATTTTACAGAGTAACATGGAATCATTTAGATGACAATTGCAATTAGATTGTTAACAGATTATAGTCTGAAATATACGTGTATGTAATAATATGTAAAACTGTAGGTGTACTACTAAATTGAACCTCAACATTCCAGCTTAAATGTTTATGAACGCCAACGAATGCACCGTGGTAATCAATTCTCATGAGTCGTGTTCATATTAAGTCCTATTCATATTGATTATACAGTTCATATGGATGAATGATCATGTGAAGGACGGGGCTAGAGAAAAATACAGTTTTGATGTAGGCGGTTATGTGCGTTGTATGTGTGTCAGCGTATAGTCTGTACGTTAATGACAACGTTTCAATAGGGAAAGAAAAGGTTAGTTAATGCAAGTGTATTGACACGGGGTAGGGTGACTTCTGTCTACAGGCTGGAGCGCTATCTCAAATAGACCGATGTAATAACGTATTTATTTT